AATGAATAAATATATTGCCAATGGCAACAACTTTTGATTTAGAATAAATCTATTTACGTAGAAACATTTGGCATTGAATTATTTCATTCACTATTTTAACTTGATCAAGTGATTGAGAAAGTTATTCTTATTAGAAAAGCAACACTTTATAATTAGTAAGCCCTTCCCTTTTTTTTTTTTTTGCATAATTAGTTCTTTTAGGATATGGCTGCTGCTGTTGTGATAATTTTGGAAGTGTAAGTGTGCTGAAATACTCCAAAGATGAGCTAGTGAGGGGGCAAGACAGGTCTAGTATAGTGGTTCCCAACCTTTTTTATACGGAGGACCGGCAAACCTATTCACAAACTTTTGGCGGAAACATTTAGTTATAAATATGTGGGAGGATCCTTTTCTGAGAGAGAAATCAAAAGCAGAGCCCTATCTTCTTTCTTACCTGCATGCCACTCCTTTACGTAGCTTTCCCAGCCTTCCTACACAGCTCAGGAGACAGGGGCCTTTTTTATTGCGTTTTGCAGTTCCTGATGCATGAATGAACTCTGCCCCAGGCCCCATGCTTTGGAAGACCATATGCTTCAGGGGGACTTGGAAGCATGGGGTCAAGGGGATTAGTGGGGGCCTGACACTGGCAGTAGGGGGTGGGTCTGCCCCTACACTTACCAGTGGTAGCAGGAAGTGGAGTGACCTAGCCCCAGCCCACCCTGCAAGTTCTCCATGTCGCTTGGAAGAGCAAGTGGAGTGGGCTAGAAGCAGAGCAAGGGTGGTAGCAGAGCATGGGGTGAAGGCCTTGCACCCCTCTAGGGATTTCCCTGCTCTCAGTGAACAGATTACATTGTCTGAAAGGACTACTGGAGTCACCTAGTCTGACCTCTTGTATAGCACAGGTTACAGACAAAGGGATTCTTCAGAATAATTCCTAGCGCATATCTGTTTGAAAAACATCCAATCTTGGTTTAAAAATTGACAACAGAAATGAAGCAGCATTTCCTGCCTTTGGCTGAAAAGGTTCACTTTTCAGAAGTTTGATCTAAAAAATTATTTAAAAAGATAACTCTGTGATCACTAAAAATCCTAGCAGTTACACAGTTCTTCAGAGCCCACAGGATGTGTTATAACTTTTATATTGCAGAGCCTGAAGCGTTGTATGACAGTATAAAAGTTATCAGGGGCAGATGAGAGTTTTGCGGGGCCCAGGGCAGCACAATTTTGCGGGGGCCCCCATTGGAAACAAATAGAAAAAAAGCATCATATGCGCAAATTGAAGGCTATTTTTCATATTAAATAAAATTTGGGTAAATTTGATAGAAACTTAATTTAGTTGGATAATTTTTATTTTAATTATATTGTAATTCATTCTTAAACACAATTCTACATTAATAATTAAACATTTTAATTTGTATTTAAGTCTACTATAGCTGTCTAGCTCTTTTGGCAGCACATTCTTCAATTATGTCAGTAAAGTCCATTTTTTTACACAGGTCATTTTCAATCGATATAATCGAAAGACCTACAAAACTCTCCTGGCTCACAGTAGATTCTCTTTGGCTGGTGTTTGCCAGGCAGTGTTGAGTGTTCCGGGGGGGGGCAGGAGGCGTGTGAGTGTTGGGGTTTGGGGTGCAGGCAGTGTTGAGACTTGGCGGGAGGCAGCATGTGGCTGTTGGGACTTGGGGGGCCAGGCAGCATTAGGTGTTGGGATTTGGGGGGGACAGGCAGTGTGTGGGTGCTAGGATTTGGGGGTCAGGCAGCATGTGAGTGT